TGAACTGTTTTGGGGATCATGTGACTTGGGGGGGGGGGGATCCCTGGCAGGGTTTGGGATTGAACCATCTTTGCTCTTGCCCTGCTCTTGACTTCCATTGCTTTGCTCCTCTCCCCACGCCCCCCTGCCCACCAACATCATCGCTGACCACAGTCTCGGTGACAGTGATGCTTTTGTTCTCCGGTACGGGCTGCATTCGGCGCGAGGTAGAATGGGGGTGGGATTTAAAATAGGGGGGCCACGAGAGAGGTCTGTATAGATGCTTCTATCTATACATCTCTATATAGCTGTATAGATACGCACCACACCCACACTGAAGTCACCCGCCCGCCCAGCCCCCCCTGCAGTCTTCTAAGTGTGGGGAAAAGAGAGGGGTTCAGGCCCCAAAGCAGAGTCAGTGCAGGGCTAAAAAATAATAAGGCTGGCAAGAGAAGTTTTGCCTTGGTAAAAGGGGGGGAGTAACTTGGAAGCATGGCTAGGGCAGGCTGCGGCTCCCTGGATGCCTTCTCAGGGGTAGCGCATCGAAATGGCCGGGGTAGGGAGTTTTGCAGCGTTCATCTGGGGGTGGGGGAAAGAAAGGAGTGGGTCAGGGGGGTTGTGACTTCAGGTGGATGCTCCCTGAGGAGGAGAAGGGAAGGAGGAAGCCTGCAGGGGGGTAGAAATGGCTAATTGTCGTGCATCGTTAAGCTGGAACGGGTTATCGGAACAATAGGGCTGGAGATGGCTTGGCTTCGGCACAGGCCTCTCGCCAGCTGCCTCGGGTGGGGAACCACTGGCTGCGAACCCCCGGGCCCCAGCTGGGGTCTGCCCCAGCAGGCCCCGCATCTGGGCTGGGGGAAAGCAGGCGGAGGGGGAAAGAGATGCCCTGCACCACTCACAGGGCTTTGCACCTGTGTGAAGCAAGCATGTGAGCAGAGGCGCGTGTTGCACCAACTTTGCAGGGCCGGCCGGTGCCGGATCAGGCCCCCTTTGTTTAATGGAGTTAAGAAACGGGGCTGGTCCTGAGGGAACCTTTTTCCAGAGCTAGGGAGAGGCCTGTGTGGTTCCCTCCTCCCTGGGGAAAGCCCTGACCCCAGCTCCGAAGGCAAGGGGTGTGCTCCGGACACGCAGGGCGGCTGCTGGGAATGGAGAGGGCCAGGGACCCCTGCGGTTGTTTCCCCACCCCACCAGATGTGTCCACGGACCAGATCCCCCCCAGCTGAGATGCATCAGTGCTGCTCCAGCCAAGACAACAAG